GGTAGCTCAAGAGCACAAGTCTTTAGCAAGACTTCATGAGCGAATGGATGGATGGATGAGGTCAGGTCTGTCTGTGTAAATTGTCAGGTTATCTGTTGATACCATTTCTGTACTGGTGTTTGTTCTCTAGTGCTTCTTCAGGCTGCCAAGTACATAGCCTAAAAGGACCTGCAGTAAAGCCTCTGTGTGAAATAGGAGAAGAAAACAGGGCTTTCTGCTTAACTCTTAAACTCAGACTTAGATTTGGCCTTCTCTAGTCTGTTTTATTTGTAAACTCAAAGTTAAAGCAAATGAAGTCATCTTTATTCTCCCTGCCTCTCTTACCTTTTCCTTAGCTGTAGTCTGAGTGTGCAGGCACAGCAGCTAAGGCTAGTCCAGAGAAAGCTAGAACAGGCGTTTTGCTGTTTATTTTCCTGGACTATAGAGCAGCTGCAAGGCGGGGTGCTTTTCATATCTGTTCCTCATCTGACTAAAAACCTAAAAATGCTTTAGCAGCTAGATCTGGGACTGGCTCTTCCGGTGGGGATGGGAACTGCTCTGCCCTGCCCTGTCCTGCCCTGCCTTGCCCTGCCATTAGGAAGTTCATGTCTTCAAGTCAGACAGCAGAGGGCATGGGTGCTTTCACACAAAAGGAAACTGTCTGAGACCAAATGTCTGCTTTTGGTCACCAAAACTCCACTGTTTTTTCTGCTGTTCAGTGAATGAAGGTGGCTGAAAGTGATTCAGTGGAGCCTCTCATTGTTGGCTGTACTGTACTGTACTCTTGTGCTTTCCTGTACTGTACTCTTGTGCTTTCCTGTACTGTACTCTTGTGCTTTCCTGTACTGTAGCTGGGTTTACTGTGCCCTTAGAGTAGGTAGCAAGATGTTGCCTGTCCTCTATGCTACAGAATTCTTAAACAGACGCAAAACCCCCTTTCTGTCCTAAGCCCAAGATCATCTTCCCAGCCATGACATCCTCCAGTTAGTAAACAGTGCTACGTGCATATAATTGTTCGCTGCCTCTTCTCTGGACGTGCAGTGGCAGCTGCTGCTTTCCTAATTTTGGAACAAAAAAAAATGTCACTTGATGAAAGCTACTGGAAGAATTTGGGTTTTTTAGTTTGTTTGGTTTTGTTTTTTGGGCAAGTCGGAGCTTTAGATTCTGGAGCGAATGGGGTCTGTGGCTCATTACTTTATGAAGCTAGTAGTAAGCATGACCAGTCACCACCTTCTCTTGGTGCTATGACTAGGGATGCAGCCTCCCCTTCTCTAAATACTGGAAATGTTTTAGACAGGCTGGTTTTGTATCCAGTTTGTATCTCCTCTACTGCCAGGCTATTTGGGTTAGGCTCAGGTGGGTGGACCTGTTTCGACCAACGTCAAGGACAACAATTTGGCTCAAGGTGGCCCTCTTTCTTAAAACTATATTCCCTTATGCTCCTAAGCCTATGGTTTCTTTTCTCCTAAACCAGGTAAACTGTCTTGAGCCCCATCCTCACCTACCTGTTTTGGCAACCAGTGGCCTAGACCATGATGTGAAGATCTGGGCACCAACAGCTGAAGCTTCCACTGAGCTGACGGGGCTAAAGGATGTAAGTGACTAGCTGAAGACATTGGTCTGTACTTGTGCTTGGAACTGTTACCGTCCCTCCTTGTCACAGGAAGGAGTAACTGTTGCTCAGCTCTTTAAAGGCATTGCTTTAACCCCGCTCTGTGCCTGCTTCCGTGCTCCTGTGGGCACAGTCCTGAGCTCTGAAGGGCTTCCAGTCAGAAGGCAGAAAGCATCTCTCAGGAGGACTGGCTCATATTAAAGCATCCAACCTTCTCAGTGGCCAAACTTAGGCATCTAATTAGCGTAATGATAACTGAAAGAACAGTTTATTGGGGCAGAAGACACAGTTGAGCTACATTCTAGCCCTTGGTTTTCAGAGACAAACTTTGAATGCTTAGCTCAGGCCGGCCCTGGATTTGTAATCAAGTGCTGGGTTATAGTCATCCAAACACCAGTCTTGTTGGTGAAGCCCATTGTTTATATTTATATCCCTTCTCCCAACCCTTTTGGGTTCCAGGTGATCAAGAAGAACAAGCGAGAGCGGGATGAAGACAGTTTGCATCACACTGACCTGTTTGATAGCCACATGCTGTGGTTCCTTATGCATCACCTGAGACAGAGACGCCATCATCGGGTAAGCTGCAGTTGGAAGTGGGCTCCCAAGGGCTACATTCTTTTAAAGGAGGCTACAGAATTTCATGGCACACTTCTTACTGCTTTAAAGAGGATGGAGTGGTCTTGGTTGGGTGTCCCATCCACTGGCCTTTATCCCCATTAGAGCAACTAGTAGAAAGGAGGTGGTGTGTGACTTTTGTCCTCTGTCACCATATATGCACAGGGGTAGCTTTATAGTTGCAGTGGCTGGAAGGGTGGGGGAGAGTAGAGAAGAAATAATTGCTCAGGTGACCTGTGTTAACTGTCAAGGTCTAGTGCAAGTCTCAAACACATTGTTACTGAGACTGCAGCCACAGTCCACTTTTGTATTATCTGTGGCTGCTTTTGTGGTGTAGCGACAGAGCTGAGCAGTTCCAACAGAGACCATATGGCCTAAAATATTTACTGTCTGGCCTTTTAAGAAATATCTGAGCCAGATGCAGTAGTACACACCATAACCCTAGCTACCAGGGATGCTGAGGTAGGATTGAGAATAAACGGGTTACCCTAGGCTATTTAATTTAGAAGAAAGAAAAAAAGTTCTGCTGATCCCTGGCCTATCTAGATCTAACAGTCTTGTCCTTGATCCAGGACAAGGTTACTAACAAGGATTTCCCATCCTACAGCGCTGGCGAGAACCTGGGGTTGGGGCCACAGATGCGGACTCTGATGAGTCTCCCAGCTCCTCAGACACATCCGACGAGGAGGAGGGCCCTGACCGGGTGCAGTGCATGCCATCCTGAGGCCCCAGATGTAGGAGGGGTGGGCTGGGGCTGCCAACCCAGTCCTGCCTGCCTGGGCAACTCTTTTTCAGTCCCAGGCCCTTACATTCAACAGAAATGCACTTTGGACTGTTTGTTTAAATAAAAGAGAGCTATCTGAGGACAGAGCACAGGAGATGGAACCAGCAGAGCCCTAGAAGTGAGAGATGAGACGGAGCCCTGAATGAGCTTCCATGGAGGTCGGAGGACTCCGAGAAACGGGCCTCTCCCTGAAGCCTTTTGTCAGCTGGCTTGGATAGGAAGTAGGGCTTCTTTTTCTTTAACCTCCCTTGTTTCTTTTGTGGGGGGTGGGGGGATACAGTACCAACAGGCCAGAGAGAAGGCTGGGAATGCCACTCTCTTTGGTTTAGGGTTTCACCTTTTTTTTCCCTTTGTTTTTTTAAGAAGTCTGACAGTTGCATTGTTTTTTGCCCCTGAGCAACCAGTCCCATCCCAGAACCCTGTTTTTCTGGGAAATCCTTAAGAGACCCCAGCCATCCCAGCACTCTTCTCTCCCTTCCACAACACTTACCACTTCTCTGACCTCAGCACAGTGCTCTGCACTGCAGTCTGTTTCCTTCACTCTCTCTCCATCCAGCACCCTCTAAATGGGGGTCTGGGATGCGGACTGTGGAGATGTGGGAGGGAGAAGAGGCAGAAGAACAAGAAGTTACCTCTTGCTTTTGTTTTAAACTGTTCAGTGGCAGCAATTTCCCTGTCCCTATCACTGTTAGAGGCCTACTTTTATATCTATAAATATATTAAAAAGCAAGTTAAACTTGGATGTATCAAGTTAAAATTATTGTCAAAAGTTTAAATACCTATATATTCTCTATGAATACAATGCAATAAAGGGGCTTGAAGGAAGAGTGCGCAAGTGATGCTGTAGAGGTAGCGGAGCCGGCTGATCATTCATGGTTGCTGTCAGAGCCTAGGGCTTATCTGTACCTTCCCCAAGGCTCAATGATGGAAGGATGCTCAGCTGTGCCCTTCTCTGCCTCAGTGCTGAGCTTTAGAAAAACAAATTCCTCTCAACTTTGCCTCAGGTCTCCTAATGTCTTTAAGTCTTGTGGGGGCTCCCAAGATTGCTCCTCTCATTAGAGGCTGGCCTGTCTTTAAACCATGACTGAAAGATGACTTCAGGAAGGGGCATCACTACTACAGACTGTCTCCTGGTTCTGTGTATAACAGAAAGCACACTCGCCCCTCCCTTTAGCTGCTTGATTCTTTAAGCATTCAACTCCACACCAGCTCCCTTCCTAATGGAAGGATAAAGGGAGAGCTTCCTAGTAATCGAGGGACAAGCCAGGAATTGGAGGATTTATTCTGGTGCCTGGGGCTTAGACCTGTCTTCAGCACTAGGCACTAAGTATGAAAGTCCTTGTGGAATTCTTACCCTAAATGCTTGTGCTGCTCTTCCTATGCCCCTGGTGTTCACAAGATCCAGTCAGGAATCCTGCATCGTGGGATGGCTGGATTTGACCACACTGGGCCAGAAGAAAGTGGGAGAGAGTGAAGGGTAATGAACTACACACTCTTTCCTCCTGACCCTGTCCAGCAGTGCAGACCAGATGCCAGCTGTCGGGCTTCTTTCCTGAGCAGGGAGTGTGTGGTAACTGAGTCATCTCATGTCCTCACTGCTAGAGGGATGATGAGGTGGGCTTAAAACCATGCACTCTGGAATTTGTTGTATTTTTTCTCAGTAAAGCTTTTCCCCTGACTGCTGCTTTGCGTGGTATGTGGTCCATTTATTTGTTACAGAGTACTTTTGTTCCTTCCAGATGCGTGCTTGATTTTGCTCAGACTTAAAAAGTGAAGTCTGGGATATCCCTGTTTCTAGTGCTTAAGCCATAGAAGAATGTTGTAAGTGAAATAGGTCTGTTTATGTCAGTGGTACGTAAGAGATGGGGCACATTATTTGGGAGTGTTTCCAGCCCCTTGTTCTATACTGCAGTGAGGGATAATAGGGAAAACATGGCTGCACATCCCCTCCCAGTCATTCAGAGCTTCCCAAACTCTTAGTGATCCACAGAGATTCTAGAATCAGTCAGGTACAGTACAGTCAGTCACCTTTATTCCAGGGTTAGAACAAGTGCATACTGCAGACAGAGGAGCACAGGCTAGGGGCAACCTCACGGCAGCACGAGGGTAGCAGGGTGTGTAAGTGTATTAGGGCAGGTTAGTCTGTTTAAGGTTTGGGTTTTGCCTTACAGAAACTGCTGAGAAGCACCCTCTCTCTCTTTCTTCCATAAGGAAAGCGATGTCTCACTCCTGCTCTCATGTAACACCTAGATGGAAGGGTGTTACCCAGAGTTCCTTTCTCCCAGTTGTACAGGGATTTCTTGTCTTAAGGAGATGCCAGGCAGGACTAGGGAGACTTCGGAAGGACCTTTAAGGCAAAACTGGAATCTTCGAGTTGTGTGTGTTAAGGCAGGTGTCTGCAGCAGTGGCCAGAGGAGATGGGCAAACTGGGCTCAGCTAGGAATTGAGGGTGCACTTGCCAGTAACCCTCTTCTGACAGCCAATCAATCCTCCCGTCCCTGTGAAGTTTTGTTCCCATATCCTAAAAGCTCCTCCCTTCAACTTTCTCTGAATTGTCTCTTAGCTCAGATGTAAATGTAATGTTCGTTGTGGTTGGCTGAAATGTTTTCTTTTCTGTTTGGACTATGTAACAATTTGGCTCTGCTACTCCCTTTACTGTGACATCCCCCTCCCACTCTGCTCTGGCCTAGACAATAAGTTAATGCTAAAAACCACAAAAAAGGGCAGACATGGCAGTGCGGGTTTAATATACATATATGTAGAATATATATGTACACACAGTTAGCACGGTCAAGATGGGGAAGGGCATCTTGGGACGGGGAGGAGGCTGGGTTCACTCACTGTACTCTAGTGACTTGGCTGTGTGGCATCCACAAACCCAAGTTACCAGTCCCTTCCTGGATTGAATCAGGGTGGTAAGTCAGTGCAAAGGAAACACTGTAATTAACTTCTTTCTTGCTTGGGGAATTCTAAACTGGAGAGTGGGATGGTTGCCTACAACACCCATATTGGGACTCTGTAAGTTGTGGGCAGGTTGGGGTTAAAACCTAAGAATCTCACTCCCCAGTCTCCCTAGGCTCTGGGTCAGTATATCCAACAGTCTGTATTCAGAAACTGAGGAGCAGCAAGTGGGCCTGTCTACCTGCGTCCCTAGCTCAGCTTAGTAGTGCATGGTCCCAGCATAGTCTCTCCAGAGCAGAAGTTGGGGTGGGGCATTAAATGCTGGCTTCTCCACTGGGGTTTGCTCTTGGGGACCAGGAAAGGATCTAATGGTCTTCTCATTAAGATTTCTGGCCCATCCTCATCCCAGGCCCATAACAAGGGCACAAAGGAAGGGCCCACTGGCACTCAGGACCTCAGCCTAAGGAATAGCGGGAAGCTGGATTCTAGCCAGTCCAGCATGGAGATACAAACACTGAATTCTGGCTTTTCTTTGCCCCTTACAGGTGGAGGTTGAGTAGCCTCTTTATCTCCTTCCCCACTGGTTTTCTTTAGATATAACCATCTCTCCCATACCTCATCTTCACCATAGCTCCTCAGTGTAGGAAAATGCAGGTCCTTTCTGCTTCCGTACTTTAAAGATGTGGGGTAAGAGTGGAGGAAAGGGGAGAATTAAGCTCCCCGTCCCTTGACTCCAATCCCCTCACGAGGAGGAGGAACTAGATGAGCTAGACAGACAGACAGCCAGAGCGTGCGCACACGCACACACGCGCATAGTAAGGGTTAGGACCAAGTTAGTAAATGGGTGCGGAGCAGGGGGTTGCCCTAGCCCCTCCCACTGAGGGTGGGGAAGGGAGTGGTCTGATGAAGATCCAACCTTCCTCCTCTTCCTCCCCCTTGCTCAGGCCTTCTTTGGTGGGGGAGCCAATTTGATGATTTCTTCCTCAGAGGGCTGCCGGATAATGTCTGAAAAAAACAAGGAGGTGTGCCAGGGATGGGGCTGCCAGGCAGGCCGATTGAACATCAGCCTCCTCCCCCCAAACTCAGAATGACTCTCCTCTCTAAAAATATAGTCAGACAGGAAAGGCAAAAGTATAGCTATGCCAAAGGTATGGCCTCTTACCTTTGTACTTCTTGGCACTGGGAATACGGGTTAACTTGGTGTCCAGCTCATCCTCCTCAGAGATCTTCAGCACACGGGTTCTGTAGTCAACCACCATAGTAAGTAGGTCAGGACGGCGGGATATCTCAAAGATGTGCTCAATGTAGGAGAGGTTGTCTAGAGGAAGGCAGCTTGTATCAGAGCTAGGCTATAGAGGTCAACTTCTACCCTGTCAAAACTGGTATTCTTGAACCATGACTTGAGTTGCTGACATTGGTTATGAGAAGGGATAGCAGTGAAAGAAGGGGCTACCAAGCCAGTAAAAGAAAGTTTGAGGCAGCCAAATGCAGTTCGGAGGATTACTCCATAGAAGGACAGGTGTTTAGCTAATGAGATCTTCTAGGGTATAAATGGAAAATACAGACTTTGGGCTAGATATCAAGTCCATCGTGGGGGAAGGGACAATAGAAAGGCTGCCTTCAAAATTATCCCCTCCCCCCTTTCCACTTTTCCTTCCAAATGAGTATCAGGGAGAAGTCCCAGACACAACATGGAACAGGAAGGTGAGATTCATGGCCAAAGAGACATTCTGAACCTAGTAAGGAAAGTTACTTTAGTAAGAGAAAGCACTGACACCATCAAGCTGGCTTCAGATTGCCATCAGATCATCTGGCTCCTGTCCCCTGATTGTTGCAATAGTCTCAACTGTAATAGGTCCTCCTTAGGTTTTCCTCCCTGTTGTCAGACTTTGGCCAGAATTGTTCATATGAAGGACTCTGGGGTGACTTCACTTTCACACACCTATAACTCAGCCACCTCTAATCAGACCCAGTATTTTTAGCCCAGCTAATGTGGACTGTGTTCTTTTGCTGAACAGGTTCTCTGGGTTCTACCTTAGACATCCCTTTTGCCTTTGGGGGCAGTCTAGCAGCAGCAACTTGGGGGGTTGGCTCTCCCCTTTCACTGTGAGCCCTGGGCCCTCTTGTTAGGCACACATGGCAAGTTCTTTTACATACTCTCCTGCCAGCGCTTGGGGCCATCTTACATGCCAGTTGACCCTGCAAGCCCCAGCTGCATGGTATTGCTTTAATCCAGTGTCTCCTTCCCACCCCTGAAGGGCAGCAGTCTCTACAAGTAGGTAAGAAGATGTTAGAACTGTGGTTTCAAGTTCTACCACTTTTAAACCGTGCTTTCATGCACTGTTATACATGTAGTGATAGCACAGGAGTACTGAGAAACACGTTGCACTGATAAGGCCCATAAGAGAAACCTGTCTGACAACTGCTGTCGCAGGGCCCTGTACTCTTCTTAGAGCAGATGATTTTACCCCGCCTGTCACGGGGTTTCCCTTTGTGTAAGAGGCTGTGTTCCTTTCTATCTGCTAAATGAGCAGAGCCTCTCCACAACCTTTGTCCAGCTTGTTGTGGCTCTCCAGGAAGCTGAACCAGGCACTGCCTGTGGTGATCTCCTCGCTCTTCTCGCTGGGGATGTCCTCCTTGCAGGCTGACTTGAGCTGCTCCAGATCTTCGAGGGTGATGTTGTCGGTCAGGTCCTGAAGGAGAGTGCCGTACTCTGCCATGACTGGAGGGGGAGAGCAAGCTGAGCTTCCTGTGTGGGGTCTGATTCACTTACTCCAAGTACTTACTGGAGACTTACCCCCACCCCCAGCAACATGCACACTTGCACACACACACACACACACTGTCCTGCCAGGGTACCTTAAATATAGAAGTTTATGCGAGTGAGCAGGTCTGGAGGGAGAAAAAGAAAACCCTGCATAACAGAAGAAACTTAAGAAAGCTAGGAGCCAGCGTGGAGCCTAGAGTGATAAGTAACTCCTCCCCTCCCCCCAATACACAATCTTATTTTTCTTTTTCCATCCCTTAACAGTAACCCTGGCAACAGCTCCCCTGACTGAGGAGGAGGTTACCATGACAACATTCTCCAGACTTTCTTCCAGTCTCCCAAGTACCCCCTCCCCAATTGCCCCACCTACCTACAACTCCTCCCCCTGTCACAGGCTTGCCTAGCAGTGAGACGCTAAAAAGGAACTGGAAGGATTGGTTCAAGCCCATGTGTCCCACCGTTCTTCCCCAAAAGCCAAGGGGTCCCTCATTCCCTCTTCCCAACACTCCACTGATGATTTTGGATGTGTGCCTAGTTCCTTGGCCTGATGGGTCCCTGGCCCCTCCATGCTCACTCCTGTATTAGATTATTAGGTCTTAGGGTAGCAGGGAGCAGTGGGCCACCCCCCACCTTTGTGGAGCCCATTTTCTCCTTTGATAGTTTACTGAGCCCCAACTCAGCCTTCTCTCCTAGCCTTTGTGCTGTGCCTGCAGCCCCCGCGCCCAAGAATACCAAGCGGCTGGCTCTGGCCCCCTGCCCAGTTCCCAGGCAGGCTGGGTGATGGGGGGAGGGGAGTTTAGATGTAGCTTTCAGAATATGGCAGCAAGGGGGGTTGCCTTTGATATTACTTTGAGTCTGGCCTCCCAAAAAGCAAGGCTAGGTCTGACCTAGGTCTTTGTACCATGTCTTTCATGATCCTTAGGTGAGAAAGGAAACACCCAAGGACACCCTTCCCCAAGATAGGAACTATAGCAGAAATAAAAAGATCAGACCTGGGGCTGGAGAGATGGCTCAGAGGTTAGCACTGGCTACTCTTCCAGAGGACCTGGGTTTAATTACTTCCCAGCACCCACATGGCAATTCACACCTGTCAGTTCCAGGGGATTCGACACCTTCACACAGACATATATGTGCAGGCAAAACACCCATGTATTTTTTTTAAAAGCCCTTAGAACATGGATTTGATAAAATGTAAAACTCCCAGTGATAAGCTAAAATCAGGGATCTGAGCATAGTAATTTAGCCTATAATAATTCCAATACTCAGGTGTCTGAGGCAGGAAGAGTGCTGCAAGTTTAGCCTGGACTACATAGCAAAATCTTGTTTCAAAGAAGGACCTGTTTTCTGCAATGAGTATATATCTTTTATAGTCAGAAAATTAAAGTACTAAAACAGTAAAGCTACATCATAAATACTGTGTCTAGACAAAAAGGTGGGCAAGAAGCTGAGTGCCTTAGACCTGACCACTGCTGCCCATGCACCACCCAACCCTGAGCCGAAGCTGGCAGATCAAAGAGGCCAGCTTGACAAACCTGTTTTTCTCCATTCTAGCCTCTGTAGTAGGGGAACTGAGGCAGAGCCATGGACACTGCATAGTAGGGGTGGACCCAGAAGTCCTTATTCCCAACTCCCTACTTTGACCAGAATAAACACACCATCCTTGTTGGCAGGCACCGTGACACACACGAACAATAAGCCAGACAGCAGGGCTAGCACGACCCCCAGAAGAATCGGCAGGAAACATTTCTGCTTGCACACCCAGGTGCCACCAAACAGAAGGGCCCAGCGGTGGCCTGCCAGGCAGGGCCAGGGACAATGCTCTCTGACTGTCAGCACCAGGAACCATCTCTGCCTGGAAATCTAGGTCACAGCAGCAAGCTCTGGAGCCCAGCCCCGCCTCCACTGATAATCCTAGGGCAGAAAAGGGGATGTGGGGGAGGGGCTGGAGGGGGCTGGAAAAGTAGCATAGGACAGAGACAAGAAGGTCCTGCCCAAAATGAAGCACTAGGGCCAGACCCTCATTGGAAAGGGGGTCGCACGGCCTTGATTTCACAGGGAAGAGGAGTTTGTAAATACAAGAGCTGCTGTGGGAGGGAAGTGTGTAGCACTGTGTGAACCTCACAGGAGGAGTAAGATTCAGGGCTCTGGATCTAAACCACAGATCTACTGGGGTGGTAGGCAGGAAGGGATTAATGTGTGTAACACACACACACCTACAAAGGTTGGGGGCAGTAGGTAGGAGCTTTGAAAGAATAAAACATACAAGAAGGCCCTAGAGAGGAATGTGGGCAGAAATGTACAAAGTGGCTGGGGAGAGATGGTGTGTACACGCATAGATGTGCACCCGTGGACACGCACCCTTGAATGTGGCTAGGTGAGAAGAAGTATGTGGAAGATACAGTAGGTGTGTTTCGATGTTCTGGTAATAGAGATCAGTGCAGCACTAGCTGTGAGCTTATGTGAGTTGTATGTTTCTATTTGAGCCAGTTAAGAGGATACAAGAACACTTACATAGACTCACATCCAGAGGGGTGAGGAGAACCTACAGTACGACAGAAGAGAGTTGGCCTTGGGAAAGGCTGCACATGAGGAAGAATTCAGTGCGGGGGGTGGGGGGGTTGGAGGGGGAACCACGCACAGTCCACAAGGCTGAAGGCGCCACTCAGCTGTTACCATAGCAACCTCAGTTCAGGGTGCCCCACCCCCCAGTCATCAAAACAATGACACTGCCATGGGAAGTGTGAGTGCTAGGGCCAGAAAGGGTAGGATGGGAGGCTCTTGAGGGAGCACTAAAGGAATGGGGTTACCATTTGCCCACGGCCCGCTGTGGAAGAGGCAAGGGCAGAGAAGTGGGGAACATTTTTTAGGGTGCAGAATCTCTTCTGCATGACTTTTAGGTTTCACTAGTCAGCTACTATTATCCCTGGCTGGTTAGTCTGGGTCCAGTGGGGCTTGACAGAGCTTGCCTTTTTCATCCTCACCAAAGATTTAGGATTTGTAAGGGCCTAAGGAGAAGTCTGTCCTCCTGGCTCTGACAAATTCCCATGTCTGGAGCACCGCCTCAGGAACACTGGGCTGAGGCCATTCTTGGGACAGGATACCAGGGCAGGAACTGAGAACCGGAGCTGAGGCTGCCAGGAAGTTAGTTCCTTCCCTCCCATCTCATTCTGTGTTCTGTTCACTGCTTCCTCACACCTTCCTCCCTCCCTGCCTCTCCCAAGCTGGCTCTAGGCATAGCATTGACCACTGAGAATGCTGGAGAAGAAGGGGCCTTTTAGGTACGGGTCGGGAAGAAGGCAGATGCAAGCCTTGAGTGTGCTCAGAGCAGGCTAGCAAAGAGAACCACCTGTGGTGGAGGTGGCAGCACCAAAATAATTTCTGAGCATTTTGACACTAATGGTAGTGTCAAACTCTGGCTTTTCCAGAGCAGTCGATTCTAGATAGGAAATGTAACAGGGAAGCCTGAGGATTAGATGTTACCCCTTCCTCCACATCTGCTACTGCTGCCAAAGGCAGGGGAGGAAGAGCCAACCTAGTAGAGCTGCAGAGGCTAGAGGGTCCCTTTTAAGAGCGGGAGGCAATTCCTAGGCACTCACTTTAGTCAGTCAGCCTTGTCTGAAGTTGGGAACTGGAGGAAATACTCAACGGAAACAGGTGGGAAGGGCGTGAGCAGGGCTGTAGCTATTGTAATTTCAGTGCCTATCTGTGCCTCAGATCCAAAAATCCAGCCGTGTTTCTTTCAGTATCTTAACCGACTTCTTCCCCCAACCTTTTAATCTAGCTTTGGATATCTCCGAAGACACTCTTCTTTCTTCCTGTAACAAAGAAGAAGGTTTTACAGTTCCAAGGTCAGCCTAGGAGTAGGGCTCCAAAATGTACATCTAAAACGAGAAGCGGGTGCCTCTGGGAAAGGAAAGGGCCATGCCCAAGATGGAGGCAGTCAGAGATAGCTGGCCTAGGATTAGGCCGGTAGAACAAGGCCTGATAGTTGTGAGGAGGGATGGGTGCTGCGTGACTCCCCAGACTAGCTAGCCATTCCCAGCATTTCCATTCCTCATCTAGTTCTCTCTCCCCAGTCATTTTTAGTTTATTTTTCTACCTCTTTCAGCTACCCTTTTTTTTTTTTGATGTCTTTTTTGTAATTTTGTCTCCCACCCCCTCCCACCTCGGAGGACCAAACTCACTCTAGCATTGAGCTAAATTCCCAACCCCCTTTTATTCTTTAGCCGGGCATTCAGGCCTTCCAGCTCTTCCTACTCACTCACTCCATTTGGCGGTAGCCATGGCTACATTTGAACTTCCTAAGACTCCATGTCCCCACTTAAATACCCAGGGCTACCATAAGGAAGGGATGAGCCTCCTCGTGCCGTGGAAAAAGAAGAAGGTGGGTGGGAAGGAAGGAATGTATACTGGGTGGCTACTGACCAGCTGGCCGGGAGAGCCATCTTTGACATTGTACGTGAGGATGTGTGTGTGTGTGTGTGAGGTACAGTGTGGCTCTGCGCCCTTATGTATGACAGTGTATGTAGACCTGCCGAGCACAGGTGTCACACAAGTAGTAGGCAGCCAGGGAAGCTGGCAGCCTAAAGCATGCTGGCAGTTTCCCCACGAGAGTGTTTAACTGCAAAGGAAAGAGCAATTAACACTAATCGCTCCTGTAGCCCGGGGGCCAGACACATAACCTAGAGAAACAATATAGAGCCTGGTGGCCAGACACACAACCTAGAGAAACAAGACTCGGATGTTCCCGTGTTCCTCCTCACACCTGCTTTCACCGTCCCTAACTTGTGATTCTCTGTAGCCTCCGCTCCAAGCACTCTTCCTGTTCCTCTGGCCACCTCCTTCCTTTTCTCTCTGGTTCTCTGGCCAGATCTCCCTGTCTTCTCACACATTCCTCTCATTCTCTCTCCCTCTGACTTGGGTCCCATCCTTGGCTGACTCATTCTTTTCACCCTCTCCCTGGCTTCCACTCCTTCCTGCATCCTTTGGCCATATTGATGGCCAGAATCTAGCCACTCCCAGGTACCCTGTGCTCTAAACTGGCAGTCAGCAACAAAGGTCACAAGAAGCCCCTTACCTAGGTAAGAGCACAGGCTCACCAGTCCTTGAGGTATTGCCCACTAAAACTGTAAATCGGGGTGCGTTTGTGGACCCTTTCCACCCACTACTGGACATTGCTGTTAAGACTGATGTTTTAGAGGGGGTGCTGGTCAAGGAGACTGACGCCACATGGGAGGTAACAAACGGGTTGTGGTGGGTGGGTGGATGCGTAGCGCAGGGATGTTGTGATTTGGTTTGTATGAGAGGATGTGTATAAGTCACATGGGTGTGTGTCACTGTGTGGTTGGCTGTCTTTTTCTCTTAATGGTGTATTTGTGTCCCTGTCGGTTTTGACACGTATTATTTTTAAAAATTAGGGTCTTTATATTAGCTACATCGTTCCTATGTACCCCCAGCTCCTTTCCTCCGGGCAAGCTTCCACCAATTCCACTCTCCTCAGACGCAGTAAGCTGGGTGTGAGAGTACCCGAACCAGTTGCCTGCTGCCTGAGGAACTGAGGCAGGGCTGAACTGAGCCTGGACGCCTGCAGAGGCGAGTCCGAAGCTAAAGCGAGGAGGGAGGGGCCGGAGCTGGCCTGGCTCTGCCGGCTGGGCGGGAAGCAGGCTACATCCTAATCCCCAGGCCCCATCGGACTCCCAAACTGGTGTTCAGCACGGAATGGGCGGATGAAGCCACGCTGCCTGTAGCACACTCCGGTCTCTGGATGCATCGACAGAGATGGACCCCACGGGGCCTGACACGGTGGGCCGGTCTGAATTCTCAGGCTCCCCTATTTGACCCCTGCGTCCGGGATCATGACCCTCCAAACCCAGACCCCCAATCTACCTCCTCCCCACGAAACATCTCCCCTCTGCCCCTCTCACCGCCTCCGGAGCTGAGAGCTCAGGGTGCGGGCACTCCCGGGTCCCCGGTTCCTAAGCAGCGTCTGGAGCCTGCTCCTTGGCTCCTGCCACCGCTGCCGCCGATCCTGCTGCCGCCGCCTCTTCCGCCCGTGGTGCAGAGCCTGAGCCCAGCACCGCCTCACCCCACCCGACTGGCCGGTGATGTCAGAGCCGGGGAGGGGCGGGGGGCGGGGAGCGGCGAGGAAAGAGGGAGGGGAGGCAGGAGGGGACAGAGACTGGGGGCTGGGGTTCTGGAAAGCTCCTAGGATGGGAATAGGACTGGGATGGAGTATGGACTCTGCCTTTTCTCCTTAAACCATGGGAAGATCCTCATTTTTTCCTAGCGGGTCACTTTCCTACCCTCTGACTTTTGGATATCACGATGGCTAGGACCCCTGAAAGGCAGATCAATTTGGACTGGGGGATTTGGAAGGCCTGTGGCCTCTGGGTACTCTTAGTTACTTTGCTTTGGTATTTAGAAACACTCTCTTCCTAGCCTTATAGATCAGAGAATCAGTTGGAAACGATCAAGTTTACCCACGCTGGGAATAGAAATGGGACAGGGGCAGGCAGCAACAGGGGAATCTTTTACTTGGCCAGGAGCCATGATCTCTTCTGTATAATAACAGCTGGACCCCTATGCTCCTCCTGCCTTTCCCAAATATACCGCCCCCCTGACACACCCACACCCACCCACCCACCCACCCACACACACACACACACACACTATGATGTAATTTTATTTTCTGGGGAAAAAAAAGCCATGAGCTCAGCATGCAAATATAGACAACAAAGCCACACTTAGCTGTCTCCTAGCTCTGTCCTTCTGCCTAGTCCCAGTGTGATAATTCTCACTTCCCCTACACCTCAGGGACTTTCCTCCCCCAGATTCTCAGCCAGGCCAAAAGAGGGGAGAATTGGAGAAGCATCAGATTCTCACCCATCTCCAGAATAAGGGTTTCAGCTCAGCTCTGGAAGTATCTGACCCTGAGAACATCTTCAGTGTTTGCACACCACCAGGAACACCCCATCTTGCCCTCAGTTCTAGCCGATCTCGGTCACCTCTAGAAGCCTCAGACGAGCCCTTCCTCTCTTGGGGCCACTTCTGGGAGAGGCAGGTCCTGGCCCTGCACCTTAGGTTTCATATGTAGTTCTTCTCTTTGCTCGTCTCCCCCAGCATGGCTGCCCATTGCCCCTTTGAAGGTAACTAACACACCCTCAGAATTTGCTTTTGCTTCTGATTCACTCTGTGCTGCAGGGTCAATCTATCTTGTTGACCCATCTTTGAGACCCAGAGTGACTGCACACTTGTGCACAGACATGTAGCATTTAAATGAAACAAATCAGGCAGAGCAAGACACAGAGAAAGTGGACTTTATACTTACTCTGTTTCCTTAGACAAATTAAGCCCATAAAGTTGAGGATACCAGTGCTCACTTCATAGGGTTCTTCTGAGAAGCAGAAATAATAAAGATTTTAGGAACTGGTACCAGATAGGTGCAAGCAAAAAACAAACAAACAGGCAAGTCAAAGACTCTTTGTCTAGTATCTTGCTGATCTATATGAAGCAAACTGAATATTTTTACGATGTAACCTAATATCCTATTACCTATTAGTTATCCATTACATGTGAATAAGTTGATTAAATATCTTATTTCTGTTTTATATACTTTTGCCATTTTCTCTAAGAATACTCCCTGGATTTGACTGTGGAGAGTGGAAACTTCTCTAATTTCAGGGCTCATTTTTTCTATGCTTAGACATCCAATATCTTTACACTGCCTTAACAAAAAAACTAATGTCATACACAATATGGTGGTAGTATACATACACCTGTCATCTTAAGATTTAGAATGTTGAGGCAGGAGGAGTCCCATTTTGGGCTACATAGTGATACCTTACCTAGAAACAACAAAATATGTCTCCTTACTTAGAAACTTGTTCGGGATTGTGGACCTTTCATGCTCTCAACTTGTGTGTCCGTCCGTTGTCCCACTTGAGCCTGTCCTGGGGAGTCCTTTTCATAGAAGCCCAGCAGGTCTAAGTCTAGGGGCTCTTTGTTTAAACATCAATGCCTCCTCATTACCCTGACTACCACACAGGGCCAGATCTTCCCAGTCTCACTCTGATCAAAACAGTTTTTGATGAGGAATGGGGCTCCTTGCCGCTGCCTTTATATCACCTCTCCTCCCTAAGTCTATCCTGGCTTTTGCTACCAGGTGAAATAGGATTCAGTTCAGACATCTCTACAACACAACACAACCTCATGGCCACAACTTGAATTTCTCTTTACTTTTCAGACCTCTGATGTGACAAACACACCCTGCACAAACACAAACCTCTTGAGGTTTGCTTGCTTGTTTGCTTGCTCGCTTGCTTTGACTGGAATGTCCCTGTCCTAATTTCTTTGCCTCCAGTCAAAGCCCATTCTTCAGTTGAAGGCCCGGAGAGGATTTGTTTCCATTGTGGAAGTCACCAAGCCCATATTTTTGTTGTTGTTGTTTGTTTGTTTTTTACTGTTTATTTTCTGACATAGGAGTCCTTTGTGTGTCCCTGGTGTCCTGGAACTGGATTCACAGAGATGTGCCTGCCTCTGCGTCCTGAGTGTTAGGATCAAAGGTGTGCACCGCCATCATTCAGCACCCCAAGCCCATTCCCCTCTCTTCTACCTTGTCTTTTCATCCTGTATTCAACAAATATAGGACAGTTCTTCACGTACCAGGCTGCAAGAAAATAGAGTGACAGCCTGCCCTCAGGACTCAGTTCGGCAGCTGTGTAACTGAGGAACTTTGCAGGTACATTAAGCACAAGAATGGGCTACTCAGGAAGGGCAGTGGGACCATCAAAGTCTGGGGAGACTGTCACTAAGAAAGGACAGTGGACCAATGTTTGAATAACGAGCGACTGGGAAGGCATTGTTGAGTGACGCATACTCAGTTACATACTGCTGTTGTTCTTCAGTTGTTTAGGGTACTTGTCTTGACTTTTCAGGCAGACTAGTCAGCTCAAGAGCAGGGACAGGCCTGGCACCCTCTGTTCTTCCAGAGCCCAACAACAGCACTGGACAAACACCATGTACTCAGAAAAGGATTGTTGACTGGAGGCAGATAAACATCCAGGCTTCTCTCTGATAACTGTCTGGAGAGAGAGCCCCAGCCCCGCTGATCAGCCCTCTAACTCATTCTTAACAAGACACCCACAGTTAAATCTCTTCAGTGGCCACCTCCCTCCTAGGTGAGTCTTTATCAACAACAGACGGTTGCTCATGCTGCCCCAGATTTCTTTATTAAGGCCTTGCATTTGACCCAAATACATTAACAGGAGATGGCTAAGAGAGAGCCCCTAACACAGTACCTCCCTTCCTCCTGGCCAGGGTCAGGACAGTTAGAAAGGTTTACGATTTGAGTGATGGGAGACTGTACTGATAGAAGGGATAGAGACGAGTTTGCAAATTCTTTAAGTACGGGGAGTGGTCGAAGAGAGACAGTAGATACGGATAAGGTATGGGGTAAGTAAGAAGCAAGTCAGGAGAAAGAACTGGGATCTGAGAAAATAAAACAGCTCCTTTTCTCATCAGCAAGGGAGACCAGGATCTCAAGCACCCTGTATGTAGACCACAGTTGGCTCTATAGGAGAGAATGACCTAGTGTCCCACGGAGCTTGGGGAAGTGCACAGATGGTAGGAAGGTACGTGGAGAGAGCAAGTGGGGCTGGTACATAGTTGCCACCGCAACTAGTCATCGTCGTCCTCGTCCTCGTCATCGTCGTCATCATCATCGTCATCGTCGTCGTCCTCTGTGTTGATTTCACCCTCCAGCACATCCTCCAGCCAGTCCTCCAGCTCCTCGGCAGAAGGCAGGTCCTCCTCGTTGTCCATCTCCATCCATATGCTGTCCGCCTAGGTGACGGCACAGGTAGGGGATGGAAGGTAAACCTAATACAGAGCTGGACCTGCCCTTCACTTCCTGTGCATCCCCTCCCTTGCATCCTTCAGTGGCGAAAACTACCCTGGTGAAGACCAGAGTTAGAATAGTGGTGAATGTGAGTGGGAAGAAAAGGCGTTGGCTAGAGACTCCCTTCTATCTGTCTTCTTCACTGTTGCCGTACTGAGCTCCTGGAACCATACCTCTCTACCATATCTGTGACGTGAAAGCAGTAGTGACTCTTCATGGCCAACACAACCAAGCCAGAAACTCTAACATTCGCAGACTTTCATCAAATGATTTTCTAGTACTAGTTTTAGTGATTTCTAAACTCTGAAAGTGTATTTTAAAAAATATTTGTTTGTTCCTAAATCTGATTTTACTTTTTTGCTGTCTTTTTTGTTGTTCTTATTTGTTTATTTTATTTTTTAAGGTGTGCTCTTGATGGCTCACAGTCACACTCTGGAGACAGAGGTAGAGGTAGGCAGATCTTTGAGTTCAAAGCCAGCATGTGCTTTTGCTTTATAGCCTTGGCTGTCTGGCCTCTCATACTTGCTATGTAGCTCAGGCTGGCTTTGAACTCACAGTAGTGGTCTAGCCTCTGCCTTTCCAGTGTGTGTGCCACTGTGCCTGGCTTTGCCTTTGACCTTTGATACTCACCCTTCCCCCCTCAGTCTGGAGACTCCTATTTGTCCCTTATTGAAATCTCATACACAACATCATGGTCTCTATTGTAATGCTACTTTCTCTTAAACTCTACTCCCAGTCTCTCAAGCTACCTTGCTGCTGATTTATTCCTTATAAAATTTACCAAAGCCTGCCTTATAATTAATGGAATATTTGCCTACTCCATTAGACCACGAATACTATGAAATCAAAAGCTGCACTACTCACTTCAACTCAACAAATAGGTATCTACTACGTGTTCACCAGAAGATTTCTACCTTCGAAATCTACTAGAAGAGATAGGATGCTCCAAGGCAAGTTCTCAATGCCAGTGAGCTCCCAGGGGGCCCTAGGGGGAGTACTTCCAAAGAAAATGCAGTGGAGGGCAACGTGGTTGAACTAGACAGACTCTGAAGAATGGGCAGGTGGATCCAGTGAGTGGATAATTCAAGGGCTCAGATCATGCACTCCTACCCCACAGGTCCAGCCATTGGATGGGATGTCTCCTGCTTC